TCTTCTCTTCTCTTCTCTTCTCTTCTCTTCTCTTCTCTTCTCTTCTCTTCTCTTCTCTTCTCTTCTCTTCTCTTCTCTTCTCTTCTCTTCTCTATGCTAATTCAGGTGTGTTTTTGTTTTTCCCCAGGGAGAGTCGGAGTCACTGCATTGATATTGAAACTGCTTACATGCAGGGGTGTGAGATGTTGGACCAAGCTGTGCTGGTGAGAGAGTCCTGTTTGTTCATCTACATATTCATGACACTCAAGGCAAAAAAAAGAAAGCATTATGAATAATTCAGGTACTATGAAGTGTTGATAATAATGTGAGATGCGGTGCAGGTGTTCCCAAAATTTGTTTAGCTCGTTAAAATAACATTTTAATTTGTGCTTCTATTTGACTGCCCATTTTTTGGGCTTACCAAGAAAAGCTTGCATGCCCAAAGTCTATAGAACTGTAGAGTCATATATGTGACATTTTCAAGTAATAAAGTATTTCCAGTATGTCCATCCATTTTTTGCCACTTATCCTGGTCCAGATTACAGGACAAGCACTTCAAGCATAGTTCCTCAGACCTCTATCTTCCCTGTAACACGCCTCCACCATCATAACTAAGACTGTAAAGAGATGTTTTCATCAAGGCATCTGAGAGACATCATCTCTTATGTTCTGGTTCATAAGATCCTAGTCAGATATCAAAACTACCATTGGATCAGGAGGTGCACAGGCTCTACTGTGAGTAGAGGTCTTATCAGTCTGCTGCTCTATTCTTCCTTCACATATTAACAAAACCTGAAGATACTTTAACTCCAAACTCCTCTTGCCTCAGGTCCGATCCCCAGCCTGGCTGAGAAACCATGTCCTCAGGCTTGAAGGTGCTTGGGGACATATTTCAGAAATAAGGGCGGTTGTTGTGTTTTGTGTGCTCTACCTGGAACTGGGCAATAAAAAAAACAGCTACACTAAACCAGTCCAAATCTCAAGGACTTTATTAAGTATATCTGTACAATCAAGTGCTACAATCAATTGAACGATCTTGCATTCCCTGAAATAAAAGATGATTCCCATTCATTAAGTTGTTAAAAAGCTCACGATTGTCACCAAGCGCTCTTTTCCCTCTGTAGGTGGTAAAGGAACTGCAAACTTCAACTGGAGAGGCGATCCTTCTGCTGAGAGCTATGCTAGGAGAAGTGTGTCTGAACGTGGAGGAAGAAGAGAACGCAATCTGCAGTCTGTTCAACAGTTTGCAGGTCACATATTGATCCGATTTTATTCAGCTGCTGTTGTTTATCCTCTCCAGCCAACTGTAGGAAAAGAAAACTGCGTACACAAATATTTATTTGAATGTGTTGACAGTGTTTGAGTCTAGCTCTGATGATGATGCATCAGAATGTTTAAACACTGTAACCACAACAGGCGCTGTGATGACAGGTGTGGTGAGGTGTAAAGATGTTAAAATGATCCCTTAGCTTTAGAAAAAGGGTTATTGCCCTGTTCTCTTCTTTGAATCTTAAAATTGTTTACTGGAAAAAGATCCAACTGTCTCTAAACTTCTGTCTATAGAAATATTTTTGGGTTTAAAGTGAATGCAGAGATCATCTCTAACACCAAATGTTTTTATTATGTTCACATGATCCATTGGGTTACCAGGATTTAATGTGTCAGGTCTGCTTAGATTAAATTAGTTGCAGAGAAGTGGACTAATCTGGACTAACTGAATGGCTGTCAGATAGTTTGCTTAGATTTAACCATCTGCCTTAATCATCTTCTTCACAGAAATAACACATGGCACATTCTGGCACCATTAGCACTGCTTGGCCACTGGATGTCTCTGTTAACCTAATTGTGAGAGAAGAGTGAATTTTATTTGCAAAATGCACAATCAAACAGAACAGAAAGCACACTGTGGATTTTACATGTTGAAAATTAATGTTAGAGACCTCAAGGCTATTTTACGGTGGATAAAAGAGTCTGTTTTCTCTTTTCTGATCTGACAGGAAAAACTAGAAGAGAGGAAGAAGATCCTGTTAAAAGCAGCTCAAAGGTAAAAACCACATTTATAAAGAGTTAGCTTTCTTACATTGTTCCACACAGTTTGTGTCATAATATTTACGAAGCTGAATGCCATTATCCACTGTCACTGTATGACTTGGTACCCTTTTCCATTGTATCATGCTGCATTGTGCACAGGGTGATAAATAGCAGTGCCCTGTTTGCTCTGGAATAATCTCTGTCTGCACCGAACACCTTTTCTTGGATTTTCATCAAAGCATGGAGCTGAATTTAAACCACTTCAGTCGGATTATATGTGTGTCTGCATCCATTCAATGAAAATAAGGCTAACTGAAAAGTGTTGGAAAACAAATAAATGATATGTAAATCACAGACTTACTGAAGTCTATAATATCAACAAAAGCAACTGCTCCGGGAAAGCCTAGAAGCTGTCTGTAGATTTTCTACATTTTGCATTATAACAGAACATATTTACGACGACTGATGGGTCAAGTGAAAATATATAATACACTGTCTTGAGAATATTATCTTTTCTTTCCCACTTTGCTATTTACTTTTTAGCTGCTTGCTTGTGCAGAACTTTTGTTTCTCAAACTATTTAACATTGACTCTATGCCACGAAAATAATTACAAATAGATTTATATTAGAATCAGTAAACTTTGATTAAATGCCACTGTTGCAGCTAATTAGTACGTTGGTTCAATTAACTGCACGTCAGGTAAAATTTATGAAAGACTAATGGCTTATCACCAACTGATGATAAACTCGCAAACTTAAATTTGTGTTTATCCAGGTTTTTATT